ACCTGGAATACTGCGTTCAGCTGTGGGGCCCCCAACATAAGAAGGACATGAACCTATTGGAGCAAGTCTGGAGGAGGGCCACGAAGATGATCAGAGGGCTGGAGCACCTCTCCTATGAAGACAGGCTGAGAGAGTTAGGTTTATTCAGCCTGGAGAAGAGAAGGCTCTGGGGAGACCTTATAGCAGCTTTTCAGTACTTAAAGGGGGCCTACAGGAAAGTTGGGGAGGGACTCTTTAACAGGGAGTGTAGTGATAGGACAAGGGGTAATGGTTTTAAACTGAAAGAGGTTAGATTTAGATTAGATATTAGGAAGAAATTCTTTACTGTGAGGGTAGTGAGACACAGGAACAGGTTGCCTGGAGAGGTTGTGGATGCCCCATCCCTGGAAGTGTTCAAGGTCAGGCTGGATGGGGCTTTGAGCAACCTAGTGGAAGGAACCTAGCTTTTAGTCTAGTGAAAGGTGGTCCTGCCCATGGCAGGAAGGGTGGAACGAGATGATCTTTAAGGTCCCTTCCAATGCAAACCATTCTATGATTCTGATTCTATACATGAAGCACTCTGCTATCAAGCTAGTCAGTGAAGAGCTAGTCAATGCAGTCAATGGCACGTAGAGGGAGTTTTGCTTCACCCTACAGTAGTCACTTACATTTGGTATCACACACAGATATCTAAACTCATGTGTCTTGGTCTCATGAGCCTTAGACTGTGAGAAGAATTCCCCTCCTGCCTCAATGCTTTAAAAAGGATAACTTTCAGGAACATTAGTTCAGAGAATTACAGTGTCAGAGAGATGCAGAACCCAACCCAGCCTCTGGAGTTTCACCTCTGTTTTGCCACTTCATTCCAGTCTACTTCCAAATGGAGTAGAGAACTTATTTTTCCTCTTTCCCTGATAGCCAAAATATCCTCAGTGTTTAAATACAGCAGATAAACAGATGGAGCACAGGCATGAACTGTGTTCTTTGCCAGAACTGGGCAAACATTTGTGATGTAGGATGAGGTTATCCTGCTCAGGAGGAGTGTATGGTAACGCATTTGTTTTCCCCACATGAACAACCACCTGTTGAAGATGATAAACAGGTGAAGTACATAGAACCTCCATTGTTCTAGAAAGTCAGATCTTGCTCCCCTGTATATGGGATCTACTTTTTCAGAAATGCATTTCAGACTAACCTGTTTGCAGTGACAGTCTGGCAAGCCAGAGAAGTGAGAACATCTCATTTTATCAATGAAGAAGTAGTTTCTACTTCATGAAAGAGGAATGACAACATTCCTGACACTGGCCAGCAAAGCCAGAGAGCTCACAGACCTTCACCTTCTTGCTGCCCCCCTGTTTTCGAGGGGAGCCAGATCAGAGGAGTATCTCTTTTCAGTGCGGGGACAGTGTGATGTTCTCCACACTGAGATTTTGCCTCTTGGCCCATTAAAGAGCAGGAGAACAGTAAGCTGGAGCTGAGGTGGGCACCCAGCAGAGTTTGAATGGGCAGGCTGTTTTCCTATCTGAAAAGGTAGCTTGCAGGCAGACATACAGACCTCCTTCCACTGTTGTACGGCAGCGAGGGATTCATCCCGGGAGAGGTCAGGCCATGGCTTTTCTGTTGCTGCATTCTCCAAAGTGTGCCTTCAGCAAAGGGCAGTTCTGCAGTGCTTTGGAGGGTCCAACCATCAAAGGCTACATGGGGCTGCCATTCTGGGGCAATGTGAGAGTCTCTGTACAGCGACGGAATTTGTCCCAGAGATCTCTCAGAAAACATTTGGCATAGTCTAGGTCTTAATCAACTCCAGAATGGAAAAAGCCGCACAAATGAAATGTCTCTCAATGCCTACAAATACCTAAATTCAAGTCCAGTTATAGAAGGAGGGGAAGAAGGAGGAGAAAAGTAAAGACCACTTTTTTTCTTGGGCTCCAGAGCCAAGATCTGGGTGTTTTTTAAGTCATCCTACAAGGAAGAAAAGAAAAGTCTGAAGCTTACTGTGACCTAAATAAAGCAAAAGAATTAGGTACTTGTGATCAAAGGGTTGAATGATGCATATACACATCTCCCTAAATAATAGAGTGGGTGGGGGAAATGACATGTCATTATTCCTCTGAAATAAACTGAATTACCTGTTCTGAAAAGAGGATTTAATCTGTTTTTATACAGTGAAGAATAATGCCACATTATTTCTTCTAAAATTAGCAGCTGACAAGCTGAGACTTCAATGCTTATAGCATCTGGCTCCCTGGCACCACACTGTACTTACCACAATGAAGCTTTCCTTTACCAGTTTTATAAGGTTTGGCAGGGAATAGCCATTACCACAAAGGCCTACATCCACCGAGCTCCAGAACAGCAGTAGGTCTAAGTTACCTCAGAGTTTCTTTCTTTCTTTCTAGAGAAGCAATATACAGAAAATATGATACTGACATTTCAAAAAAGCTGCAGAACTTTGAATGGACTCAAAGTCCTCTTTCAGTAGCTTAATTGTACAGAAAAGATCTTTCCAACCAGCTGTACCCTTCATTAGTTGTCTTCCAAACCAGAAGAAGCATGTGACAATCTCATCCTAAAATTCTGCATTTTGACATTTCCGGTGTCCAAGGCAGGCAGCGAAAGAGTGAATTCTGAAAGCTGAAGTCAGACTCATCTAAGCAAATAAGGGGTTTCTTTTTTTCTTTTCTCGAACTCTAAGGCTTCAGATACTGAATAACTGAGCACATAACCATAGTACTGTCTGAACAATTTATCTTAAAAAAGATAATGGCTATATTTTATCACATGAATGCATAGGAACAGTGTAGAGACTTCTCCTCAAAACTGCTCTCCTGAGGAATTCCCCTCTGTTTGCTGTTCATGTTTAGAGACAGTATGAAGGGCTCAGCATTCATAAAGAGGCTTGGGAGACTGAAAACCTGAGAAGCCATTTCCATCAGACCTGGGAGACCAAAATCACAGAGCTTATTTCCCCTCTAGAGAGTTTCCAATTAAATACCACTTCAATGGAATAACCAAACATCTCCTTTACTGATGCAGGGCCATATTTGTGTCCAAGTTATTTGCAGAGAATTCCCTAGCAACAAATTGGAAAAGGAAATAAAAGCTGAACTTTCTCTCCCACACATCTGAGAGAAGTGATTGGGTGATGTCTTCTCTGAGTTTAAATATTAAAACTTCACTTTTGTTGATGTTTTTTCCTTGACTGTGGTGACACAGAGATATGAAAGATAATAAATCCAGTCACCAAAACCACTTATCACCATTTGACCTTTCCCATCACAGGTTTGGCCTAGGCAGTTTAAAGTCCACGACTTTTTACATTTGTACTTATCTTCTTTCACACAACTCTGTGCTTGCTGTCATGACTGCCAGGCTCCACAGCAGCACACTGGTGTTTTGGTTTTTTTTTTTCCCTTGAAGGGTAGAAGATTGTCCTCTTGTCTACCCAAGAAAAGGATTTTGTAATTGTTGAAGAGCTCCTTGGAAAAAAGCAAGAAGGACTTATTGAAGAAGTTTCTTCCTCAAGAGAGGCTGGCCTTTTCAGAAAGGCTTGTCATCTAATGAGTGCTGGAGTTGCAGGCCTGAGAGAGGTAAACACGTCAACGCTATGTCTTCAACTCCCCATATCCATAGGCTCTTGCATTGAACAAAGGCCCTGCATCTGGGAGGAAGGGCATCCTCTCCGTCTGATCTAACAATGACTCCATGATAATGCCCCAGGGTTGAGCACCTACTGGTCTCAAGCCAGGAAGGCAAGGCCTCAGGGGCAAGCCCCATTTTCTCGAGGCTTCAGCAGCCCTCAGAGACAAGCAGAGATGAGCTGGATAGAACTAGAGAGGCTTGTGAGGCAACCTCTCCCTCTGAGAAGGCAAAGCTGTCAGGACATGCTGCTCAAGCTGCAGCATCCAAGCAACAGGGTTGTCTATGCTTGAAGGCACTATTTCAGACAACAGATGACTAGGGTAAACTTGTGGTCTGGGAAAGTAGAATCTGAGCATCTAGCTCAGCAGTTTTCATTTCTGGTTTCTTAAAGGCAGACCTGGTAACCCAGTTGCCAAAAAAAAGCTGGTTATGTTAATCACTGTATCTTCCCTGATGGTAACTTATATTTAAACAGATTTACTTGCACATCTTTTGCAACCTACTTGCATCTTCGTTTTCTGTATGGAGCCTGGTGAAGTTCTACACTATCTGCTGCAGGAAAGCACCCAATTGTTGAACTCTTCTTGATCCTTCATTGTTAACAGCAAAAATGACAGTCAAGACTGTCTTCAGTTTTTCTTCTTCTACCTGCTTTGTAATAGTGTGTAAATTACATCAGGCTAATGTACAGTTTTATATTCAGTTTAAATGGTTTCAACTGACCTGCAATCAGCGTTCTGCAGTACAACCCTGGCAAGTGTCTAGTCTAAGGAAGAGATACATCAGCACTCCCCCACTAACTACTCCACGTATTTACTTACCAACGGGAAAGCCAAACAACTAGCAAACAGCTCCATGAGTACAGATAATATATCTGTCAGCAGAGAGAAAGCACGACTGTCCACATTAAAGTATGTAAGCCTCCTTTTTCAGCACATGGAGCTAAACTGTAACTTCTCCTAAGATTCACCTACTGGAGGGGGATACAGTTACACTGACCACGTATCTGAGGGCAACTTTCCATCACTGTCTCTTTACAAAGCATGCAATGAATAACTTCCACGATAAAGAAAGAAAAATGGAATAAAGCACTATCTTAACTATATTCATAATGATTTATCTGAAAATATGTTCTCATTAAACTGGTAGGTAACCACAACCCATTGTAAGGCAGAAGTAGTTTGGTTCCACCTGAATTTCAAGTCATTATTATAATTATTCTCACCAGAACAGCCATTAATCACATAAACAATACCTGGCTTGCAGAAAATATGTGATAAGTAGCTATATTATGATTTACTATTATTTTTCTTACATGCTTTAACTCTTACTCGAATACTTATTTTCTATGAAAATTTTTTAGAAAAAAAAAATCTTACCTTCAGATTGATGCGTGGCAAGAGGTGTCTGTGTCTCCTTGGAGTATGATACCACCTCCCGAGGTAAGAAATCAACCTGGGTAATCTTTGACACCCCTAGTTTGTGCAGTCTGCGTCTAAGATGGAATACATGACATCAAAAGGTTAGTCATGTTAAATGTAAATCATCAGCAGGAACAAGAGTGTTTGCTTTTATGAACAGGATCAATAAATACTTCAGTGTTTACTAAGATGAAACACAATACACTATGCATAAGAAGTACCTAACTGCAGTGAAGAAAATTAACCTGGGAACCATTTGCCATAATAAAGTACAGTTACTGAACCTTCAGATCATGCTGCTGAGAGGGACTGTAAATGGGAGAGAGAAATGACCTGCTTGTGCCCCTTGTAACATGCAACAAAATTCTCTTTCATACCATCATTACTACAATGTTCTGCCTGCTCGAAAGAGTTAATCCTCAACCTGAGATACACAATAGTGGAAAGAGCACAGTGGGTGTAAACCAGGCTGGATTAGCACTGTCAGATGTTCACCTGAGAGTGATAATAGAGCCTTTAATTGGCAAGGTGGTTAATTTCCATAAAGAAGGAGATTCTCCCTTCTACAGGAGTCATTAGTAGTGGGATTGATGTAGGTTGATGATTAATAGAGTCCTAATGCAAGGGTTAGAGGGGAGCTCCAAGATACAGCTGGAACAGGGCACGTATAGCCTTCTCTTTTTATTACTTCCCTTACTTTAAATAAGCTGTATGAAATAAATCAGTAAAGCCAATTAACTGTAAGTGGGTAAGGGAAAAAGAAGAGAGACAGCTGAATGTGGTCATGAACACTTTTAGTAATACACGGTTCACTCAACAGTGGGGGGAAAAAAATCAATTTATTTCCTGAATATTATTTGACTGTCTGTAGGGAGGGAAGAATAAACAAAAGATTACTTGCAAGTGTTTTACTGGAAAAAAATGCCAACTTTCAGCAGAGAAAAGAATATATACATAATAAACAAATCAACTGAATAAGTCCAGTTGCCTAGATCAACAAGTGCAAGCACGCTTATACGTTTATGGAAAATAAATTCATGGACACGATGTTTCTGAACTGCCATGTCATTAGAGAGCGCAATTTGGAAAAGCAGAAAATTCATATGCATTATCCATATCCTCTCCATTTTCCAGACTGTCAGAAGAAGAGAGGTCAAAGGGGTTTTGATCTAATTAATTTACAATGGTTTAGGTATTCAATTAAGATTGATGTCTGAAAGGAAATGAGAGTCTCAAAAGGAAATTGTCATCATTGGATGACACCTCCTGAACTCTTCAGCTAGTTAATGCTACATCAGCTACACATTTTTCTAATCTATCTTATTGGCTGAGTTGTTATTAAGCTGAATGCAATTAGATTCAGCAGGTAATCAGTATGAATCAGCCATATCACGTAACAAACCACTAAAGCAGAAATAGTTGTTGCAGCTCTGAGTCTTTCTTCTTTTCAAAGAGGAAAAATTAACAAGTCTCCCTCCTTACAACAATCTGTGACTTTGCCAATATGAACAAAAGCTACAATTGTCTGAAAATCCTACAGCAAAACTTCTAACCTATTACTGGGGGCATAAGAACTTCTACAGCTTGTGATATACTTCAGCTAACAAAAGTTTCAGTAGTGTTACATTTTTGTAGCTCTTTAACTGAGGGTTTGTGTGGATTCAAGCTTTAAGAAATATCTCACCCCAGCAAAATCTCATGTGCTTTTCCCTCCTTCAGCACCAGATGTGCAATCTCTGTTGCCTACTTGGTCAGTTACACTTTCCTAATAAGTAACCAGTCCCTTGCTGCCCCAAGCTACTGGTTCCACTTGACCAAGATTCTTAAGCATTCTGCATTGAAAGAGCTTCTTGACCGTGGTCTTGGTTAAGCATATCTCTAATTAATCATATGCCTAATCTGGGCCTAATTAGAACCTCACCTAATTCTAACAACAGTTTCACATGAGGTCGCTCTGTATGTCCTCAACAGCCTGAGGATGGGGAACATCGATCCTAATGGAGAGTTGGATTTAACTGCTAGTTGGGTTAGCCTCTTTGTAGACTGCTAATCAAGAAGTGGGCTACATTCCAGAGCACTGTGCTGAGAGAATGTGTGGAATTTTTCACCTAAAACATTTCTAATTTGGGAATTGCTGGTGCCTGTACAACTGTCTAGCATATCCTGGTAATTACTGAAAACAGGGTGGTCTTTCTTATCTGAAGGAATGTAGTCTCTTAGTTCTTTTTTGCCCCTGTTAAGCAACCTGCAACTGTTCTCGTGTAACTAAAAGTTGGCCTAGCCCCTTGGTCCCAAGCACACAGGGACAACTGGAGCATCCTTTCAGTATCTGGACTCTACCAAATATGGACTATAATGTTCTATTCTCTAGTTCTTTTTAGGGCAGCAGTAAACTGTCTATTGCTTTCCCATCCCCATTTTTCATCTGAGGTGTTCATAATTCTTATCATTTACAGTTTGCTGAATATTCATCTTAGAGAGCACAAAAGCTTTGAAGGATTCCTTTCAAAACTTTCTATGGGATGTCAGTAGGAGGACAGTAACTAAAGTCCATGCATTAAAATTGATTCCTCTCTCTGTAGGTGGCAGAAGAAAGATGTATCTGCTAGAAATATTTTGCTACACACATCATTTAATTGCTGACAGCAGGATTTCTTTTGCATTGGTATTTTTTTAAATCTCGTCTCATGACACCAGAGGGAAATCTGGTCCTCCCTCTAACTCTGCCTTGGTTTTGAAGACAGTTTTCTTTCAAAAGAGGCAGGACTTCCCATCCAGACTATACCTGTGGATTTACTCTTTTGCGTGCTTCTTTTATGAGTGGTCAGTGCAAAGACAAAAAGTGTGAAGTCTGTGGCTATATGCAGGGTTATCTTTTCATGAATCAAATAAAGGAACTTGCTTTGCACAGCTGTTTGAGGAACCTTGCTCCTAGGAGTTCTCATCTTTTAATCCAAACTTCTGGGAAAGGGCAGCTGAGATTTCTAAAAGGTTTCTGTATATTAAAACAGCCTCAAAAGCTCTATCTTTTTGGTACTGTCCAGGTAAAGTTGTAGAAGCTGGATCTATTTGAAGCCACACTTAGGTAGAAATTACAACATTCATAGTAGTTCTGGATGTGGAGAAACCCTGTTTAGAAAGCTCTCTGGATACTTTCCTGTCCTTCTGATCTTTCCTGGTGAAGAGCCCTAACATTCCTAACTGCAGCTGGGAGCACTGTCAATCAGTAGTTAAAGAGAAATTGTAGTTTTTCTTATAGAATGGTGAATAAATTTCATATGAACTAGTAAAAGCATAAGACGCTTGCCTGGAGATTCAGACAGGCAAGCGCTTAAGTTCATAGGTAGAGCAATTTCTTCAACATAGAGATTTGGTTTTGAGTATTACTCAAGTTCTGAACAACTTGAGGGACTGCTAGCTATCCTTTTTAGAGGAACAGTTTATCCTAAATATCTCTGCAGGTAGGCATTTCTAAATTATTTAAATTAACTAATTTTTTCAGATGCTTGGGGTAGAGAAGTTCCACCCCATACTAGAAAATATTAATTTTAGCTTTAGTACCATTTTAAAAATACTTGATTGGCCTGAACTCAACTAAGATAGCAATTACTCGTGGACTATTAAGTGCACAATTATAAGCATATATAAAGTTCCTAAGGAAAAAGGGGAAACCGTTACTGCATGTGGAAACAGCATAACTATGGCAGACAGGAAGGAGGGGGAAAGTACCTTGCAAATGATTCAGAGAGAAAGGTCTGAATCAACAGGTACAAACAAGGCCAATGTAGCTGTACATGCACATTTAAGTGCCACAATAATAACATTTCATCTGTAATGAAATAGTTATTTGTATTGTGTTTCAGGCAACAGAAATAGCAGCTTATCTTTTCATGAGCTTCTTTAAATAGAAGGGTTTTTTCCACAAAGATGCTTTGCTGAAGCTTCTTACTGATGAAACCAAAAAAATGGAAACTTAAATTATGGTCTTTTTGAGTCAACAAAGCAAATGAAAATCACATAAAACCAGCTCAGCTGGGAAGCATTTTCAACATAATTCTTGCAAAGAAATGATAAACAAATAACAAAAAGAGCTGACATATACCCAAGTTCAGAGTCAGACTGGAGCTGCAGCACTGAGGGGTCTGTGTCCCATTGCAAGGTCCTAGGGTGGTAATCAGCCGTGCAGCACAAAGGGAGGGGGGGAAAAAAGAACACACAGAATTAACTGAAAGGATGAACAAAACCCCATCTCATTAGTTACATGCTCTATGTAGTACATTCAACCTCCAAGTGCAAGGGACAGCCACGCTATGTCAAATAAGGTTTGTGTGTCAAACTGTGACAAGGCAGGCAACTTATTAAAACTACAAATTATTAGTAAACAAAGGGAAGAACCTGGGTTTCCTTTCAGATATTGGTTAATGAAACATATTTTTTTTCTTTTTCTGAAAGATTTCTAACTCTTTAACTATGGTTGGATACATTCACAATAATCTGTAAAATCTGCAGGTACAATTTATTGTAATCATGTTTTTATGATAAAGTGGACTGAGCACTTGCCATGAACTCCACTCAGTAGTCTAGCTCTTCACACACCCCTGAGACTGACAGTAAGCCATTCTGTAAAAGAGTGCTCTGGGCGCAAATATCGCCTAGCGCATATGCCAACAAATGCCAAGCTGACACCAGCTCTGACATATTCTGGGGCCATCTGGGACAAATAAATTCTTCTTCTTTTCCTCCAGATAAAATTTCTGGGAAAAGGGGAATGATATATCTAGGGAAATCAAATCTATGACAGTCTCTTAATGGACTGCTGTCATATGGGACTGTCACTAAATGTATGAATGCTCCAGAGGTTTGGTCTGTAGTGAAGACGTTTTTCCTTGCATTGCAGTGCAACTTGCCATGTTACCACATCTAAAACACTTTGCAAACACTCACAGAGCCCTTCTGAAGTCCTGTGAAATTATAATCCCCCAATTTAGAAATACAAAAATTGACATATTGAGGGCAACATTTTCAAAAGTGCCCACTCATTCCCTGGCTCTTGATTTTACTTTATTTTTCCTCCCTCGGGAAGCCACATCTCATATGCAAGAAAACTGTCAGAATCTATGACAGAATCAGGAATACAAGTTTGGCTCCTGAGCACCTTTTCCTGTAGTATGAACGCTAGATTATGCATTGCTCTCACTAGCAGAGGCTGAAGCAGAGGAAAGTGCTCCTTCACTGAAGCAAGCAAGTCAAGCAGACACACAGGACAATGATAGTCCTCAAAATTAAAACTCCCCTCATTTCTCCTGAATACAAATTTTGAGGATACAGAGAACATAGTATTACCACGTTCAGCCAAAACCAGCTGTATAACCAGCCATGCTCAATTTACACAAGCCTTTCTGCAACAATAGCAGCTTCTGCCAATGAATCACTCATATATACTAACAAGTTATTGAATTAGGTTAGAAATAGATCTCTTAAAGCCATATAATTATGCTACCTCCTGTACTTAGTAAACTCATTCATTCTATTACTTATGTTAACTTACTCTCTGCAGAGACAGACAAGGGCATGTGCCACACTCTGTCATGCCAGAGTGAAAGAGAATCAATCTCAACGCCCTGTAAATCCAAAAAGAAGGAAGAATTGTAATGCAAAGGTGCTTTCCCATGCAAGGTAAGGGCACTTATTCCCCTCAACTTCTTATGATCCATAGTGCTGCGTATTGGCATGAAAGACTTCACAGTGATAAAGACTTCTCTAAAATGAAACTGTATTACAAAAGGGTCAGAGGCAAAATCATACAGTAATAAAGAACAGATTTTTCCCTTGTAACTTGACTGTAGCTCAAGTACAGTGGAAAGTGGACATAAGGATCTGAATGCTTGATGCAAGGCAAAGGCATCAGTGACTAATGCATTATAGTTAAAAATGCTATCTGTGTGAATTACTCTGGTAATGTCACCAAGGTCAGTAGCATATATTAGGACTTGCTATGTAAATGCCAGTTTCTAATCTTATAGCTGCCTAGGGGCTGCTTATACACGCATACCCAGGTTTTCCTAACACTTAAAAGAAAACATACATAACTCATTTCAGTTTTTCCCCTCCCTCCATCCACTTTCAAACCTACCAAATTCCCCAAGGGATAAAGACTATTCCATCAGAAAGAACTCCGTTATCATCTGATTAAAACAAGAGCTTGCAACAGGTCTCTAAAGAGGCACACCCCTATATTTCACCTCTAAGAATCCAGACCAGGCTACATTTACCTGGTACCCAGCTGAATGCCTAAACAAAATAAATTTAGAGATCTCACACACTCAAGACAACACTCAAATCCCCAAAATATGAGAACAGCAACACCTATGGTTCAGGCCATCATTTGTTACATGCAGACCATACATGTAGTGGAGACATGTTCTTCCCTTAAGTACTTCATTACCTGGATTCTGACATAAAGACTTCATCATTCTTGACATTGATACCTACTTTTAATAGCAATTCTCCTTGCCTCCTGATTACACCTGTTTTCAACAGTTTTAGTGCATCTGCAAAACATTTCCTAGATTTGTGCTCCAAATGGTAATTGTTCTCTCTGCATCATCGTGTTACCATTTGCAAGGGCTTGAAAAATAGATAAGAAGCAATCTGCTGTGTTATCCTCTCAAGCTTGGCAGAGCAAGGTTACTGTAGAAAATGAGGCTGCAGGTAGCAGGTCTTCAGGTTTCAAGTCTCTTGCCATGGGAGACACAGAATGCAAGTGGCTACACTTGCACAGTGGAGGCTGGAGAACACAGGGAGTGACTATATGTTTCAAGGAACAATATTGATTTGTCCTTTGCCTCTTCCTGGCACCTGAAGAATGTCTGCAGATCAAAATGAAAGTGAGCAAACAGTAAAGATGTAATCTGGACCTGCAATTTAGCCAGTTTCCATAGCAATAACATTGAAAAAGAAATAAATAGATTCTTTGAGGATTAGCAACCCAAAGAAAATGTTGAATAGCCTGTGCTGTCATCCAGACTAGGAAATTAAAGCTAATCTCTGTGATGAGCAGACATAACGTATGACATTCTGTGATTGTTTGGATGAGCATCACAATTATGCTTGTTCTCCTGTGGACAGTTCTCAGTGGGGATTGTGAAATGCCATTGGATCTCAGTGAAAAAGCAGTGCCAATCTTTCTCAAATCTAGTACATGAGTTCTTTCTCCAGAGATTTCTTCATGAAGAAAATGATTAGGTGCTGTTCCTCTTTTTACTTTGTTCTTCATAAAAGAAAACTGAAATTAGTTTTGGCACTTCTAGTCACCCAAAGACAGGGCCAGAGGGAGTAACGTTACAGACCCTGAAGACAAGTGTATGGCCTAGGAGAACTGCCTGACTGGTCCATCAGCAGTCAGGCAGAGGTGCTCCCACTCTGGACCCTTTCAGAAAGCACAAGTTGGCCAAAGTCCCCTGTAGGGTTCGGCGTTCGGAAGATCTCGCGATGTCACGGAAAGTTAGAGGGTTAGTCGCAGCCTTATGATGTGTCTGTAATCCCACCTACCCTTGTTAGTATAAAAGGAATTGACTGCACAATAAAAGGCGGAAGTTGGCGCTCACACTGTGTGTGTTATCTGTCTCTTTCCCTGGTCTGGGGGGTGATCAGTGATCTAATCGTGGCACCTTGATATGCGGCGAACGCTACAGTCCCCCTAAATGGGTTCGATGGCTTTTGGCACAGATCTATGTAGAGGAGATACAAAACATTTTACCTTAACTTTTTTATGGGGAAAAGAGACGAGCATAAGACCAAGCAGGGAAAAGTAGTGTTCCCTTGCACTTTCCAGTCCTTCCACAAACCTCCTGCAGACCACCTCAGCTGAGCCTCCTCCGGTGGGTGAAGCAAGTGCACGCAGCGTGGGAAGGGCCCCTGGAAACTCAGCGAGCATGAGCAGCATGGCCAGGACTAAGCCAGATCAGCCAGTTCCCACCACTCAGACAGTGCAGACACTATTTTAATCAGAACTACCCAACATTGTTTCAAAGCTGGTTGCTCCATCAGTCTCCCACATAGTGACAAACAATAGCCCGGCTATCAATCTTCTTTTTACATGTTCAGTGCATAACGGCTGCCCTTGGCTGATTGTAGGATAAAAAGCTGCAACTATTATCAAATAACAGATTGTTCTAAAGCAGCACAAAGGGAATGAGGGCTTTTAGATATTGCACTAACTAGACAAGGTATGAGTGTTACTACTTCTCTTTAAACTGATCTGCTTTCACTCTCTTCCTTTAGATAGGCATATTTTAGCATTCTCTATTTGCTCTGTATTATTATCTCAATAATCTTTTTTTTTCCTCGAATTTAGGACAGTATTAATGCTGATGCTGTTTCAGCTCTTAGTACTGAAAAAATACCAGATGATTTTGATACAATGCATCTTCTTTTTCCCCAGTCAGTGGGGGAATAACCTGCAGAAAAAAAACAACGGGAGGAGGAGCCCCAGATGTCGAACATTTAATAAAGGATTGGGCGGTAAAGCAACTTGCTACATTTTTCTATTCTGAATACATGTCCAAAGCATTAGGGAGATATTCAGAGCACAGTTTTAAGAGGACAGAGACCATTGCAAAATTTAAGGTGGGAGGTGAAAGCAATTTCAACAGAAGCATTCCCTTTTCTGTATTATTATTACCATGGAAAACCAGGCACTCTGCCATCTGTTACGATGCCCTGTGAAACCTTACTTCCAGAAGATTTTATTCTGATTGCATAATGTCAGTTATGTGGATTAAAAATGCGGAAAAGACTGAAGTAAAGAAACTAAAAATAAAATAAAATATTTGAACTCTTTTAGAAAGTTCCCAACCTCCGAATGCATTAATTAAACATGGAGTCTGTCATCTAAACCCGTCTGGAATCCATGAGAACTTCTCAGCTGATTTAAACAACTTGGGGTCTGGACTCAGTGATAGTATATGAAACACGTAAGGTATCAGTGCCATACATTTACTTATTAAATCACCATCATAAAATGATATTTAATATCCAGAATCACGGTCAGATTGCACTACAACTTGGCTCTGGTAAGTGCCCTAATCCAACACTTTTCAGTCAACCAGTATGCAACATGTTGGCACCTTTGTTCTGACTCTGCTTCCCTGAAGCTAAAAT